TTCATGAAGAGTACCAGCCTGATAGCTCTGAAGAATAAAAGTTAGTTAGGGAACACATGAAGATTAGATATGGGGAGTAGATGGTAAGTACTCTATTTATCAATGCTTCATCTTTGTCCAGCTGCAGTGTCACAATTTGGGAGCAAAATCTCATAGCTAAAGGGTGTACACTTCAGGTTGGGCTCTGCTTACCAATGGAAGGCCTACACTGAGGTGTTCCATGGAGGTACAGCGGTAGAGAGACATGGGTGAGCCAGGTATCTCTGCTCCTGCTGTAGTCAATGGAGGTGAAATCAGTACAGTCAATGAAGATCAGAGAGTTCTTAATCTCATGAAAGATGAGAGAGCTACGTAAGCAGGCACCTCCACTGACTGTATTGACTAGGTCTCCATCAGCAATGATGGGAGTTTAAATACCTAATGCACATTACAAATAGCTTCTTTGGTCACCTGCATGTGGGTTGTTAATCACTGAACTGCATCTCATTCCTTATTCCTTTTCAGTTCATGCAGGGATATTTCTGATAGTTTTGGGAGCTGTGCAGATCTTATACAAAAGCTTCTTGCAATCCAGGGCTGGCTCTGAACAGAGTCAAAAAATTGTCATCTTAGCTTGTTGAGTTGTCTGGTTCTGTTTACCATACTCAGATTCTTTGGGTTTAGGCTTGATATGATTTGTTTTTTCCAGTATTAATCAGCTAACAGAAATGCTACTTTGAAGAAAGCTTCGGCACAGCTCCTTCTACCAAGTCTGATTTACATGCAGTAGCAGAAACCTTGTTAGCCTTTTTAGATCTATCTATAGAGTTGAAGGCTTTTAAAATCAATAAAGAAACCTTCTTGCCTTAAGTTAGCAGTAGGTTGCCTTTACCCAGAACACAAAGGTTATCTCTGAAGCATTTTTAAATTGTTTGGCTACTTCAGGCATTTTCAGTGAAGCAATCCAATCTGCACAGAAGAAGCAAAGGTAACAGAACAAGTAAACAATTAGCTTGTGTGGAAATCTATTCTATTCAGGGAGCTGGGTAAAATGGGATTTCTCACAACGAAATAACTAGGAAATCTGTATGTACAACATCCATTCCAATATATGAATAAAAGTGTGAGGTTTGGGTGGTATTATACCTTGTGCATCACACATGTAGTGTACTTCACAAAGATTTCACAGCACAGATTACTTTCAGTTTATTGCTTTGTTTATTTGTTCTCTTCAGTGTCTAACACTTAAGGTCTGAATTATTAAGAACTGGAGTGTGAGGTCTGGCATTGGTGGCTTGATTTCGAGGATTATTGAGTCTCCTTTAAGTTGATGGACATATGGGTACTCCCAGTCTGAAAAACACCCCTTTCCAGAAAGAGAAGTTACTGTGATCACCTAGAACACAAAATTTTGCCCCCGGTCTTTATGTACCTCAACTTTATTTTATTTTATTATTTTCCTTTATTTATTTTCCAAAAAAATTACACTTTCATAGATGGCCTTGCTATTTCAGGTGATTTTGTAACCTGACACAGGATGCTATATTTTAAGCTTGTATCTTATATGGGCAATAACTAATATCCCAAAGGAGATTTTGCTTCTTAATTTAGCAACTCAGATTTGACACTAGACTTTTCATTTTATTTTATTTAAAGTGAAGAAGCTCATACCCTGTTCTTGCAAAGAATATTATTTCTTGTGATTCTAATATACTTTGTTTAGTGAAAAAGATCTTTCCCCCTGTCTAGTGATGACAGGCTGAAACCTGAAGTGCAATGAATCTATTCTGTGCCAGTTCTGTGTCTCCTGGTGGTACCACTGCTGTGATGCAGTCTCCAGACACTCTGTCTGCTGTCACTGCATGTCTTCCATTCCTCCTTTCCTTTTTTAGATTTTATTTAATACTGTTGACCTATATGTACATCACACATTTTGCTGCCTCCATGCATTCCTTCACTGTGTTTGAGTTAAACATTTTCTCTTAAGCCAAGAAAAAATTCTCTCTAATTCTCTGAGCTCCTTTTAAAAAAATTATTCTGCTATTCCCTAGACTAAACCAAAGGCTCATGTTTAAACAGAGGAATACATTCTTGTTACTTAAGTTGCTTACATGTGAAAGCTCTAGTACCTGCTAGATCCTATTGCTCAGGATCTATTCAGCACAATATGTAGTAAGAGTTACTACTAGCAAAGGCTAGCTATTGTTCTAACATTAGGGTTTTGTTTTCTTTTTAAAACATCTTTCTGCAGTAAGAGGTCTGAGGAAACAAAAAAAATGAAGTGCTCAAAAAAAGGTAAAAGTACTTTGAAGCTGCAAAGCTTCATCTAAGATTGGGACTCACCTACACAGTAACTCTGCACATCCTATCGTAACTGCTGACACAACAACCTAATTATTAAATTTTCAAAGGTGGTGTAAAACTTTACTCATATAAGAAACTTCTGTCAGTGTGATACTGTCCTGGGTTCAGCAGTAGCAGTCATTTTTCCCCTTCTTGGTAGCTGGTGTAGTGCAGTGTTTTGACTTTCAGCTTGGGAACAGAGCTGATAGTGATGTTTTGGTTTGGCCAAGGACTTTGTGAGCCTCATGCTCTGCCAGGGAGGAGGGGAAGCCAGGAGGAAGCAGAGACAGGACACCTGACCCAAACTGACCATTCCATACCACAGCACGTCATCCCAGGATGTAACTGGGAGTTAGCCAGAAGGGCTGAGAGACTGCGGGATTGGAGGAGGTATCGGGCAGAGCTTGGTCGGGCTGGGGGGGCGAGTTATCGGTCGGCTGGTGGTGAGATGATGTATTCTCTTCCCTTGTTATTTCCTTTATCATTATTATTATTGGTGGTAGCAGTAGTGGTTTGTGTTATACCTTAGTTACTAAACTGTTCTTATCTCAACCCGTGGGAGTTGCATTCTTTTAGATTTTCCACTCCGTCCCTCCGAGAGCAGGGGGAGGGCAAGAAAAGGGGGGGAAGTGAGCGAACGAATTACCTGACTGCGTTTAAACCACGACAGATACCAACAAGGCCACTGGCCCTTTCGGTTTGTGCTCCTCTTAAGAGTATTGGCAGAGGAGAGAAGCGGTAGCTGCTGGACAGCACAGCTGAGTTATCGCTTTTGGCAGGTGAATTGTTAATTTCCCAATCAGCGTGTCTTGTCTGACAGCTGCCACCCTGCCCCAGAGGAGGAGAAGGTGGCCTGGCTGGGCAGCATGTGCTGCCAAGGCTCCTGGCACCCCTCCAGACGTGGGCAAATGGGTGTCTGGGCTGCCCACAGATGCATGAGCCTGGAGCTGTGGCTTGGCTTGCACAGGGGTTTAACCTCCTCCTGCTGGCAGGAAATTCAGCAAGAAATGCCTTCAGCTCCCAGGCAAAGGATGCCACAGTCTTGCAAGCTGCCCTAGAGCAATTTGCAGCATGTCATGGGGAGGACAGGGCAGTGCTTAGATGCAGCTTTGCCTGTGCGCTATTTTTGCCCTTTTTTGTCTAGAGAAGTAGCTGACTGCTATAAGTGTAAGGGAAGGAAACCAGTGCTGTGCTTGTGTCCTCCTTGCAGGAGTGTATGCGGGAAAGACACTTTACAGTCTACGGTGCAATAAACCCATGCAGGGAGAGGCTTACATAGTACTCTGGGAATGAAGGTTCATCCCCCACACCCTTCATTTCCTTTTGGGAATTAGATACACCACAACAGGACACGTGTAGCCTCTGTTTTCTTGTCTCCCTGCCTTGTTGTGATTCTACAAGCTCTGATGTGATTTTTGTGAGATTAGAGATTTTTTTCTTGCGGCATGAATTTAGTTTATGATTTGCCATAGCTGTGGCAGTCAGGCTCTGGCCCTTGTTAACAGCAGAGCCTTCAATATCCCGCAACTTACTTATCACAGATGTTTTACTTAAGAATAATTCCTTCCCCTTCAGAGTTATCACTCCTGTGTATTTCTTACATTCAGAGCTGACCCTACCACAGACACAATTCCTTAATGCCAAAATTCTACTCTGGCAGTCTTTATTTCGCCATTTTTCCATGATGTGGTGGGTTTTTTTTTGTTTTGTTTGTTTTATTGGTTGGTTGCAGGTTTTTTTACACAGTATTTTTCAAAAAGCTGAATGTCTGCTCTCCCTCTTTTTTTCTTTCCCCCATAATCTCATTTATGTACTTTTATATTTCATATGTTGAAAAAACTGCACCAGTTGGTACATCTTCTGAAAAGATATGCACTGATTAGAGGACTTGCTGATCTACCAGCCATTGAATAATTATATCCTCAGGTGGGTAAATTGCACCAGACTAAAGTGCTTTTTAAAGTGATATTCAGATGAGTTTCTGAATATTTTTATGTTTGTTTGTATACGTATTTGGTGTGAAAGATTGGTGGCTAAGGCTTTAAGTTAAAGCAAAACCAGTATTCCAGGGGACAAAGAAGTTACCAAAATGAGAAAAGCTTTTACTGCCAGAAAGAAGAAACAAATAAGATGAAGATGTGTACAGTCCTGAAAGTGTGCCTGATGGAAAGAAGCAGCTGTACTAACCCTATATATCATCCAGCTCTGCAATACAAAAAGAGCACTTTGAAAAATTAAAAACTAGCTTTAATTAAGCTATTGAAGTATGAAAATCTACTTAAGGGCTTATTGTCAGCTAAGAAACAGAAGACGTGCTGATGGGTTTCAGGTGAATGAGGATGCTGTGGTAGTCTTCAATGTAACATGTAGTTTTGCTAAAAATTAAAATGAGCAAATCTGAAGAGGTTAATTAGAGCATTCAGCAGCAGACAATGCCTAGTGGAAGCTACTATTTCAGCGGAAGGAAAAGTGGTGAACCAGGCAGGGCAAGACAACTTAGGTTTACTACTCAAGAGCGCGGTAGCCATTTTTGCAGGAAAGAAAAGGAATTAACTGGCCTTAGCAGTTGCCTCCCCAAGACACAGAACTGTAAAACTCATATTTTTGGTACAAGATACTGTGTTTTTCTATGCAAAGATGATGAATGCTTACCTATCTTGTTGGTGGTGTCCTTTTACCTTTTTAATATCATATGGTTTGTTAAGCCAGATAATTCATGTTAGATTAGTTTCTTGAGCATCAGAAAGTTTAACTGAGTTTTTACAGCATGGAAAACATGGATGTTTTCCAACATGGATAGGGTTTTTAATCAATACCTTATTAGCAAATCTTTCAAATTTAAACCTTGTTCTTGCCATTCAGTTACTGGCAGAGAAGTTGCAGGTATATTGATCCAATTTCTTTTTAACTTCATATTTTGGGATAAAACCATCTCTAGGCACACATAAGATTATTTTAAGTCTATGCCAAGGATTCTTTTGCAGGACCACAACAAATCTACTCCTAAAACAAGAGTGAAATGAAACAAAAGGGAATCCTGTTCCACTTATCTAAACCTTCAGATAATTGTCAGGACTCTGTCAAAGCAGTTCACAACCCCACCCTTGAGGAAGATTGGCTGGAAAGCTGCCCAGCAGGAAAGGACCTGTGGGTGCTGGTTGGCAGCCAACTGAATATTAGCCAGCAGTGGGCCTATGTGGCCAGGAAAGCTGATAGCATCCTGTCTTGTACCAGAAATACTGTGGTCAGCAGGGTCAAGGCAGTGATCATCCCCCTGTGCTCATCACTGCTGAAGCTGCACCTCAAATTCTGTGTTCAGTTCTGGGGCTTTCACTGCAAGATGGACATTGACGTGTTGGAGCAGGTACAGAGAGTAGCAACAAAGCTGGCAAAGGGCCTTGAGCACAAGACTTATAAGGAGTGGCTGGGAGAGCTGAAAAAATTTAGCTTGGAGTAAAGGAGGCCCAGGGGAGACCTTATCACTGCAAAAGTCCTGGTGTGTCTTTTGGTGTTGCATATAGGTGTTTCAGCCATAATATAATTATTTTTGTGGCATGATAATGACCTGAAGACTTCAAGCTTGTAGAATGTATGCTGAAGAGAGAAAAAGCCACTTGAAAGCAAAATGCAGATGTTGCAGCTGCTCACAAGGAGTCATGCTGCCCTCATTTTTTTAGTTCATTGGGAGATTCACCTTTCTCTGCTCAAATTCAAACTGTGTTAATGCCAGTACTCTCTGGACTTTCAGAGTATGTGAAAACAGAACTAAAGCACAAGTTAATCTGCAGAACTCTGAGGCCGATAAACATCTCACTATAATTTGAAAGGTGGTACATCTTAGTGGCTGCTAGAATTCAGTTTATGTGGCATTAGACTGTGCATTTTCCTTGGATTATGAAACGAAAAAGATATCTAAAATAAGTGCCTGTAATAGTATTTAGAAGCTTCAAGTTAGCTTAACAGCATTGCGGACCAGTGTCCTTGCATACTATAAATGTCTAATGGAAAAAAAAGATTGATATAGAGAAAGAAAATAGACTTTGTTTTTGAATTAAGATTGTGTATACATCATTGGAAGTTTCAAGGAATATCTTGTTTGTGTTTGTCTTGGTTAACAGAAGTAGAACATATACTGAAGATGCTAGATATTCACAATATAGAGAGACATCAGCTGATCCCAGACTGATGTAACAAAAGTGTGTATATTTCAAAGAAGGTTGCATAACAAAAAACTCTCTGTCCAAGGGTTGGAAATATCTGTATGAGGGACTGGAACAGCAACATTTCTGAACAGCCACCTGCAGCCACAGGAACATGCTGGCCACCCAGAGACTTTGACTTATCTTTGAAGAAGTCTGCAGGAATCAAAAGTTAAGACGCAGGATCTGATCAACTGCTGCAAAAGTTTTGACCTGTACAGATGTGCAGAGGCAGCATAGAACACCTGGCTTGAAAGTGCCTAGCACCAAGGGCTTCATTAGGGCTGCACCTTGAGCATTTAATGACTGTGATCTTGGGGAAAATTTAATAAGGTCAAAAGGACACTAAAAGATCTATGTGTTTGCAGTAAAGTGCTTATTGTCATAATGCCTTATCTAACAGCCTCAGTGTCTGTGCCCTGATCCATTTGTTTCTTTTGTCTGCAGTACTCTGTAAGAACATATAACTATGTATTATAGGTGAAACAAAAAAATAATGACCAATAGTTTAAAAAGCATTTTCTGTGCCTGTGCCTGAAAACAAGTGTAGGAATTTCATCACCCGCTATGTCTTTCAGGTGCATATAAACAGCATTCTCCGTTGGTTTAGGTCAGCAAACTTTTACGGGTTTAGTGTGGAGCCATTGAAAGGGGAAATTTTGACTCTTCCAATGTCGAAGATGTAGTTAAAATTATTTAGTAAACTTTGTGAAGCTGCACTTCATGCATTTAAACAAACTAATCTCTTTACACCTATGAGAAAAAGCAATATGAATTTAGAGCCACGTTAATCTTTGCAGTTTGCCATGAATAATGCATTTGTTTGTTTCTGCATGCTATCTGATAATATATGGTAAAGTATGTTCTACCTCTCTGGCATACACATTGCAGATTTTGTGTAATGTATTATGCATGAAACTTAGTTGGAAAGTTTTATTTTGGATTTTGTTTTTTTTTTAAGTGCATTCTTCATGTGCATGAGTGGAGCCAGACCTTCCCCTTTTCACCATCCTTCCCACCCGCCAGCAGGTGTCCCCCCAAATAGTTCAGCCGCGTTTTGCAAACAGGTAGAAGCTTGGAAGGTAGCTAAGCTCTCAAAGCTTTGTGAAAACGGACAGCTTGGGGAGGAGGAAGTCTCAGGAAGAAGCTCAGCTGAGGGATGTCAGGTTACAGGATTCCAGGAAATCCTGAGTGGACAGATCTGATGAGGGGCATACAGCAGCAATGTGAACTGCTTTAGATTCCAAAGCAGGGAAGCGTAACTGTAGCTACAATCCCCGGTGAGTCCAAGTGATTCTATAACCTGATGTCACATCCTAACATTAAACCACATCTTTGTGGCCAATGTATGCATGAAAGGACCAAGTTTTCAGTGCAAAATTTGGAGCTTACTTTCCGCCAGCATACATAACTTCTGAGATACAAGATTATTCTAGATTTAAATCCAAAGGAAACTGGGCTTTTTCAGTGGCCGTACTTGTGGAAATACATGCTTTCCTTCTTTTCTTCTTTTATTAAATTTTAAAAGATGATAACATTGTTCTGGAATGGAAAAGTCGCCATCCAGGTGGATGCAGCGATCTGCAGAGCTCTGCTGTGCCACAAATTGAAGTTCAAGTAAAATTTTCCTATGCCACTTTTTTTATTTTAATATTTTATCTTTACTCCTGCATGGAATAAAGATATTCCTCTGAAGGAGGAAATAGAATCACATTTTTGCTGTTATATTGCTGCTGTAGTAAAATAGAAATATATCAAGAGGGTAGGGGAGAGAAAGAGTTAGTGAAACACACTGTCATACTCTTCAGGTTTCTTGCTAGGCATGATCCTTCTCTCTGAGCCATACTGGCTACTGCATGACCAGCAGGTAGAACGAGGTGATCCTGCCCCTCTACTCTGCTCTCGTGAGACCTCACCTGGAGTATTGTGTGCAGTTCTGGTGTCCTCAACATAAAAAGGACATGGAACTGTTGGAACAAGTCCAGAGGAGGGCCACGAGGATGATCAGGGGACTGGAGCACCTCCCATGGGAAGACAGGCTGAGGAAGCTGGGGCTGTTCAGCCTGGAGAAGAGAAGGCTGCGTGGAGACCTCATAGCAGCCTTCCAGTATCTGAAGGGGGCCTACAAGGATACCAGAGAGGGACTCTTCATTAGGGACTGTAGCGACAGCAGGGGTAATGTGTTTAAACTTAAAGTAGGGACTGTAGGACAAGGTGTAATGGGTTTAAACTTAAACAGGGGAAGTTCAGTTTAGATATAAGGAAGAAGTTCTTTACTGTGAGGATGGTGAGGCACTGGACTGGGTTGTCTAAAGAAGTGGCAAATGCTCCATCCCTGGCAGTGTTCAAGGCCTTGAGCGAGATGATCTAGTGTGAGGCATCCCTGCCAATGGCAGGGGGTTTGGAACTAGATGATCTCCAGATCTGTCCTGTTCTTGTCAAATACTCTATTTTTATTGCATCGTATTTTTTGTGTTGACAGTATGCCTAGCATAGAAAGCAGTATATCCTGTAACTACAGGAACAGGTAAATCATTTGTCACATTAAATAAAATGTAATAACATAATTTGTTTTTCTATCAAGTGATATAGTTAATAATTACTTAAATAAAGCACCAAATACAAAACCAAATTATAAAATTCCAGTATACTAAATGGTACAACTCCATGACAAATCGGTATAAGTTTTTCAAAAATACCTGTATTTAGGTGTTCAATTACCCACAAGGATTCTGACTTTTTTTTCCTCCCACTGTATCGGGAGGAAACAGATCTGCCAGATCAACACCTGGGAACTTTATTCCATTCATAAATGTGTAGTATATTAAAGTAGACAAATAGTATCTCTGTCAGTTCAGTTTGACAACTGAAATATTTAGATTTAAGGAAACCTAAACGAAATATTTTTGCTTTTTTTCTCCTGACTGAAACAGAGGAGAAAAAAATAAAAACTTTCCCGTGGAAAAAATGGATTTTTAAAATTTATTTATTTGTTTATTTATAAATAAAATTACATTTTACATATTCCTGAACAAGTGATAATTTTAGGATGGTTTCTTTTTTAGGAAGCAGTGCAATATATTGCTTTCTGGTGACTGTTCCACAGAGGGAGAAAATAACTCGTTGCTGGTTCAGCTAACTGAGCTCTCTTGAAGTGAAGTAGTAGAGGTCAGTGATTTTGCCACAAAAGCACTGGGCTCCAGCTCATCAGCAAATAGGGTGAATTTTTCACTATCAATCAAATCGGTTTGCAACATATAGATTTCAATATGCCCCAGATTACTGACTCATATTTTCAGGAAGTCATTCATTCCCCTAAACTTATTTTTTTTACCAGTCCTTACAACAAAGAATTAAAATGAGACAAATGTCCTTGAATAAATTAACACCTGCAGAATAATGACTTAAAGTAGAAATTTAATGTTCTGAGCTTCTCTGTTACCTTCCTGACTTTAATTACTTCCCTGAAATTTTCAGAATCCATGCTTGTGTTTTCTTGTTGTTATTGAAACAATAAAAATAATACTTCATGGGCTTCTTTAGAAATGACAGAAGTTTTATATTTTACATTTCAAAAATGTAGTTATGATCAATTTCAGTTGAAACCGTGAGTATTCAGCACTTCCACAAAGCGATATCTCAGGTGTCTAAAAAAAAAAAACAAACCTGAAAATCTAAAGAAGACATTGATCAATCAAAGATTTTTATAATAAATTAGTTACTTGGCATCTGTAGAGTGAAGTTATTAGGACACCATTTTACTCCCTTATCCTTTTTTTTCCTTTTCGTTCATCTTCCTTCTTCCAGAAACAAGCGTTTTTTTATGCTCCTGCCATTGCTT